TGTCTAGTGACACAATTTTCTTAGGCTTTAGGTTCTATTGAGAACCCCCAGAGTTTTTCTGAGCAATTTGTATTTTCAAACAAGTAATATCGTAAGGAAAAGTGAAGTAAAAAATAAGATCATGAGCCAGGCGTGGTGGCTCATGCCTGTAATCCCAGCACTTTGGAAGGCTGAGGTGGGTGGATCACCTGACGTCAGGAGTTCGAGACCAGCCTGGCCAACATGGTGAAACCCCATCTCTATCAAAAACACAAAAATTAACCAGGAATGGTGGCGGATGCCTGTAACCCCAGCTACTTGGAAGGCAGAGGTTGCAGTGAGTCAAGGTCATGCCATTGCACTCCAGCCTGGGCAACAAGGGTGAGATGGTGTCTCAATAATAATAACAATAATATTACATATACATACCAGACTCTGTCACTTTACAAGTATTATTTCCAATCCTCACAACGCAGCAAACTGAGTACTATTATTCCCATGTTATCAGTGAGGATCTACATATTAAGTAATTTACCCAAAGCCACATGGTTAGAAAAAGATGGAGCTGGAATGTACTGCTTTTTTTTTTTTTTTTTTCTTTCAACCAGAAGTGTCTTGAATACACGGAGCTGCAATTTATTTATTTTTATTTTTTGAGACAGAGGTCTCACTGTCACCCAGGCTGGAATGCAGTGGTGTGATCTCGGCTCATTGCAACCTCCGCCTCCCAGGTTCAAAGGATCCTCCCACCCTACAGGTGGGTCTACAGTCACCCGCTACCACGCCCGGCTAATTTGTTTATTTGTTTGCCTGTTTTTGGTAGAGACAGTTTCACCATGTTGGCCAGGCTGGTCTTAACCTCCTAACCTCAAGCGATCTGCCGCCTCGGCCTCCCAAAGTGCTGGGATTACAGGGATGAGCCACTGCACCCCAACAAGCTGGAATTTAAAACCGATTTTTTCAATCACCTGGAATGCATGGAAAGACTGACCTGCTAAAGGCCTCCCACATCCGAATTAAATGTACCCATCGTTTTCCTTCCTGGCTGTTTTTGTAACTTACCCTGATGCAATTCTGTCTTGTCTGCTTCTCTCCAAGTCTCTATTTCCACCCCTACCCTCCAAAGGCATTTATTATCTCCTCCTTTCCCTCTAATTCCTTTTCCCTAGATATGCCAGGACCTTGTCCATCCTCTCAATTCTGAAATAGAGTCCTAGCTGGGATGAAGGCACAGCATTTTCCACCACATCGCTCTTTCTCTTGATAGAAATCATAGCTATAGAAAGTTAATAGGTCCAGGCCAGTCGCAGTGGCTCATGCCTCTAATCCCAGCACTTTGGAAGACCTGATCACTTGAGGTCAGGAGTTTGAGACCAGCCTGGCCAACGTAGTGAAACCCCGTCTCTACTAAAAATAACAATAATTGGGCCGGGTGCGGTGGCTCACGCCTGTAATCCCAGCACTTTGGGAGGCCAAGGCGGGCGGATCACGAGGTCAGGAGATTGAGACCATCCTGGCTAACACGGTGAAACCCTGTCTACACTAAAAATACAAAAAATTAGCCGGTTGTGGTGGCAGGCACTTGTAGTCCCAGCTACTTGGGAGGCTAAGGCAGGAGAATGGTGTGAACCCGGGAGGCGGAGCTTGCAGTGAGCCGAGATCGCGCCATTGCACTCCAGCCTGGGTGACAGAGCGAGACTCTGTCTCAAAAATAAATAAATAAATAAATAATAAAATAACAAAAATTAACCAGGCATGGTGGCATACACCTATAATCCCAGCTACTCGGGAGGCTGAGGCAGGAGAATCACTTGAACTCAGGAGATGGAGGCTGCAGTGAACCGAGATCATGCCACTGCACTCCAGCCTAGGTGACAGAGTAAGGCTCTATCTCAAAAAAAAAAAAAAAAAAAAGTTAATAGGTCCAGAACAAGGGTGGGGTGAGACCTGGAGATGTCCTTTTGTAAACTTAGTTTACAACCTGAAGGTTCAGTTCTGAAAGGGGGTGCACTTAATCCACCAATCGGATCCAATAATTGAAGTCTAGATTCATGACATCCTGTGGAAATCATTTTTTTCTGGGCCCTCTGGTCCGTATTACAAGCAAATCATTTGAATGCTACTAAATAATGTGCATATCACTGCAGCACAGGGGCCTCCGAGCTGCGTTTACCCACGCTCCTCCTTTCTCCACCTTAGGCATTACCACCATCACTATTTTTCATCTTTATCATGCCCTTCCACAGAGGCATTCAATAATGTACCTATTGTGCAAGTAATCTGAAATCCTTTTCGGCGAGCAATAGTATTTAATAGTGATAAAACACTAATTTGTCTACCAAGTGACATATTTATAGGAGCTGTTTATTTGGATATATTTTTATTATTTCTCCTCATTTGCTAAGTACTTTCCAATACATATTTATGAAGCACAGGCCTTTCCCTAAACAGTAGTGAAAAAATAAATCATACTATTTCTTTTATTAGTAGCAGCATGGCTTGGAAGTCCTAGTGCCCTGATTTTAGTTACTTCTGGCAAGAGCTGGAAGAATTAATAGTGACTGACCACCTACTATGTGCCAGATTCTCTGTGAAAGGCACTTTACATAAATTATCTGTTTAATTCCCCTGAGACATATATTTTACCAACAAAGAAAATGTAATTCCCCTGCAACGTACACTTTACCAATAGGACAGAGACATTACCTTGTCTAAGTAATTTGGCCAGAAAGGGACTAGCAGGGTTTTGAACTTAGATCTTTTTCCTGATTCCAAAATCCCAAATCACCATTCCATTTCACCAGCATGCCCTACCGACTTCTCTGGACCTAACAGCTTCTGTTTTTGAGAGAGGATGCGTAGGTTACTGAGAATGGAACAGTTAGAGATAAACATACACAGGGTGCTAACCCTAATTTTTCTAAGAGAGGTTACCCTTCAAGGAATTTACTCCCTAAGAAAGCAATGGAAGGATGTTGCCCAAAGAGAAGAGCCAGTACTAGTGCTTGATCCATTCCTGGAGACAGAACTGGCTTCATTGTTTGCAAGAAACAGTGCAAAATATGGGACCCTTGTTTAAAAATTAAGAATTTCAAGATGGCAACAGCAGAGCATTAAACTAAGTGCAGGGCCCTGCTAAGCATGGGGCCCTGTGTGACTGCACTGGTCATATCACCATGTAGCTGGGCCTGCCTGGACAGAAGAAAGCTGTCATCAGTACCTCCCATGTATCATAAGCTTCATAATATGAGATTGAATGCCTATGTCATGCCTGGAAAACTATCCAGTGTTTTACATAAGCTACATGATCCTAAAACAACTCTATGAAACAGATGTTATTTTTCCCATTTCACAGTGGATGAAACTAAGGTTTAAAGAGACTGTTATTCATCCAATGTTACACGGCAAGTAAATGTCAAAGCTAGGACCAAGTTAGTTGAGATCTAAAAAATCCTGTTCCTTGACTTTGTATCTTTGTCAGCACAGGCCCATTATTTTCCTACAAAACTCAAACTTAAGCTGAGGCTATTAGGCCAAAAACTACAGAGAGGCCAAGGAAGACCAGAGATTCAAGGGCTACTCAAAAAGTCAAACTTGTGCAGCAGCTGAAGCGCAGCCGTACAGATCCAGGGCATGAGGACCTGGCAGAGAGAACTCCATCATTCATGGTAAATGTCATGGCCAATACCCAGACTCCTCCAAGACTGAAGGGAAACCCAGTGAGGTGCTTGATAAAGAGCAGCTACATGGAACCTGAGGCATCTAACTCAGTAAAATATTGTAAATAGTCCACTACAGTTAGAAACAAGACAAGGATGATTGTTACTGTTGCTTCTATTCTGCGTAGTACTAAAAGTCAGTTTATACAGTGCAATAGGACAAGAAAAAATGATAGAAAGCATTCAGGATCACTTTGGATTAATAATATACCTAACTTCTAAGTTAAGGCCTATGCATCGCAGAGCCTTCTCCAATGCCAACCAGAATTCGACAGTTTAAACCTTACCCAGTGCTTGCTTCAGCAGCACATACACTAAAGTTGGAACAATACAAAGAAGATTAGCATGGCCCCTGAAATAAATTAAAAAATAAATCCTACCCAGACAACTGCATGACAGAACACAGCAAAAACCTAGTAGGATATACATCTAAATCCCTTATCTCCTCCTTCTTCACATCTCAGGGCTGCAGAAGACCTGTTGTTTTGTTTTGTTTTTTTGAGACAGAGTCTCGTTCCATCGCCCAGACTGGAGTACAATAGCCTGATCTCGGCTCACTGCAACTTCCGCCACCCGGGTTCCAGCGATTCTCCTGCCTCAGCCTTCTGAGTAGCTGGAACTATAGGCACCCGCCACCACACCCAGCTAAATTTTGTATTTTTAATAGAAATGGGGTTTCGCCCTGTTGGCCAAGCTGGTCTCGAACTCCTGATTTCAAATGATCCACCCGAATCAGCCTCCCAGAGTGCTGAGAAGACAGGCGTGAGCCTCCACACTCAGCCGGTCCTGTTGTTTTTTATTCAGCTTTATTTCCCCCTAAACCTCCAGTTCTCTTTAATACTAATGGTATCTGCCTTCTCCAAGTGTTTGTCATTCTCTTGTAACTTCTCTGGGGGAAATCAGAAAGAGCTGAGAAAGTAGATCTGTGATCCAGCTTTTTATGCAGAGCTAAGCTGAAAAGAGGTTGGGATGTGCAGCCCTTGCTGCTACCAGGGCAAAGTATGAAAAAGAATTTTGTGGAAACATTTACATATTTACAGCAGAAGGCAGCATGCAGATGGGACAAAATGGGTTTGGTATCAGGCAGACATGTGTCTGGATTCCCGTGCTGCCACTTATTAGCTTTATGTCCTTAACCTCACTGAGCTCCCATTTACTGTCTATTAAATGGAATGAGTCCCTCTGCCACAAGGCAGTCCTAAGGTCATAATGAGACATGCATCAGGGGCCTAAGAATACATAATAGAGCCTTGATTAACTCATCTTGGGGACTACCGTAGGTACTAGTGAGAGGCTACCCACCCAGCATCCAGTTCATCCGCACACTCTCCTTTCTAGTAGAAAGCAGAACTCTCATTTTTCTTTCAGTGGCTCCAGCATGTGCTTCAGGAAAACCTGTCCCCAGCCTCAGCTCCAGGGCTATTTCCTAGTTGGTTCGAGTCAATCACAGCAGTCCCTTTTTCTTACCAGTTACTGGATTACACGTGGGTGTATGAAGCAATTCTGCACCAATGAGATTTGAGGTGAGTCAGCTTTGGTTGGAAGTTAGTTCTGAGTTAGTCCTTTGTTAAATTAAATTTGGGGTCGGGTGCAGTGGCTCATGCCTGTAATCCAGGCACTTTGGGAGGCAGAGGCATGTGAATCACCTGAGGTCAGGAGTTTGAGACCAGTCTGGCCAACATGGTGAAACCCCGTCTCTACTAAAAATACAAAAAGAGCCGGGGATGGGGGTGCATGCTTGTAATCCCAGCTACTCTGGAGGCTGAGGCAGGAGAATTGCTTGAACCCAGGAGGCGGAGGTTGCAGTGAGCCAAGACCGTGCCACTGCACTCCAGCCTGGTGACAAAGTGAGACTCTGTCTCAAACAAACAAACAAGCAACAAACAAACAAAAGCTACATTTGGCCTGAGGGCTAGTCACAGTGGCTCATGCCTATAATCCCAGCCCTTTGGGAGGCCGAGGCAGGCAGATCATCTGAGGTCAGGAGTTCGATACCAGCCACAGCCAACATGGTGAAACCCTGTCTTTACTAAAAATACAAAAAAAGTTGAGCGTGGTAGCACGTGCCTGTAATCCCAGCTACTCAGGGGGCTGAGGCAGGAGAATCACTTGAACCCAAGAGGCGGAGGTGCAGTGAGCCGAGATCATGCCACTGTACTCCAGCCCGGGCAACAGAGCAAGACTCCATCTCAAAAAGAAAAAAAAAAAATTGACCTGAGGAGGCTTCCGTACTTGGGCCCTTAACAAACTGCAGCCTTAGTATGCAAACTACCTGAAAACCTAACTTAGGAGTATACTTTTGTAACAAATTGCTGAGTCTCAGCCAATCATATCATCAGCTTCAGTGGGTTCCAGGCAGCCAACTATTCAAACCATTTTCAAATAAGGCAAAGGCAGAGCTGTAACCAATTAGCTGTCTCTGTATCTCATTGCTGTTTTCTGACCATAAATGCTTTCAGACTATGTTGCAGTTCTGGAATTCTCTGAACCTGTCCTGGTTCTGAGGGCAGCCCAATTCTAGAATTGCAAATAAAAGTCAATTACAATCTGCAAAACTATATTTGCTTTAATTTTGTCTTTTCACACCTTGTTTTCTTAATTTTTATTATTATTTTATTTTATAGAGATAGGGTCTTGCTATGTTGCCCAGGCTGGTCTGGAACTCCTGGCCTCAAGCGATCCTCCTACTTTGGCCTCCCAAGGTACTGGGATTACAGGCAGGAGTCATAGTTCCTGGCATGTTAACACCTTGTTCTTTAAAGGACACACAGGAGATGACCCTTCTCCTGCCTGTAGATATTGTCATGTCTGGATTGATGCTCAGAATGGCTGCAGCCAGGCTTTCATAAGGGGAACAAGCTTAAAGACAAAACCAACATAAAAGAACAGAGCAGAAGGATGCAAAGGCCCTATGCCATTTGACAATGAGCCACTAAATTAATGAACCTTGGGCTTCATGTTATCAGAGATAATAAGTGTCCCTGCCAGGAATGGTGGCTCTTGACTGTAATCCCTAGCACTTTGGGAGGTCAAGGTGGCTAGATCACCTGAACCCAGGAGTTCAAGACCAGCCTAGACAACGTAGAGAGACTCCATCTCTACATAAAAATACAAAACTTAGATGGGTGTGGTGGTGCACACCTGTAGTCCCAGCTACTTGGGAGACTGAGGTGGAAGGATCACTTAAGCCTGGGAGGTAGAGGGTAGAGTGAGCCGTGATTGTGCTACTGTACTCCAACCTGGGTGACAGAGCAAGAATCTGTCTTGAAACATAAAACAAATATATATAAATAAGTGTCCCTATTATTTACACTTCTTTAAGTTAGGTTTTGTTACTTGCAGCCTTAATGATACATGGACTTTTTGCCTGAGTCCTTGGAAATTCAAATGTCAGATTTTTAATTAAGGCCATCAAGCGCTAGCACATAGTAGGATCTCAACATTAATTTTGTCTGATGTCAGACAAAGGGCATACAATAGTTCCCTGTAAAAAATCTGTAAGAAGACACTCTGGGGACTCAATGATTAGATCAAGAGAAAAATGTTCCTGCATTCCTCCCTTGCCATCTTTAAAATGCATTAAAGCCCACTCATTCATTCATAGATATATATATGTATATGTGTGTGAATATATGTGTGTGTGTGTGTGTGTATATATATATATATATTTTAGATGGAATCTCACTCTGTTGCCCAGGCTGGAGTGCAGTGGCACAATCTCAGCTCACTGAAACCTCCATCTCCCAGGTTCAAGCGATTCTCATGCCTCAGTCTCCCAAGTAGCTGGGATTACAGGTGCGAGCCACCACACCAGCTAATTTTTGTATTTTTAGTAGAGACAGGGTTTCACCATGTTGGCCAGGCTGGTCTTGAACTCCTGACCTCAAGTGATCTGCCTGCCTCAGCCTCCCAAAGTGCTGGGATTACAGGCATGAGCCACTGCACCTGGCTTATATATAAATAATGTGTGTGTGTATATATATGTATGTGTGTGTTTACATATATATGTATATATGTGTGTGTGTGTGTATATATATATTTTTTTTTTCCTAAGAACTAGAGAGTACCCTCAGGTCTCAAACCACTCCCAAAGGGGAAACTGAAAGCTGACACTTTATGGAAGGAACCCCTGAGATAGAGCCAGTCCTTTGCTTTTTTAAAAATATATTTTTAAAACATCATTCATCTATTTAATAATTACTGAGCTTCCATAATGTGTAAAGAGAAAAACTGACAAAAAGTGGGAGCCTATAGGCAGACACATGAACAGTGAATAAATAATACAGGGGAGTTACTGTAAGCATCGATCTAGATCACAGCTGAGGCATAAAAAAGGATGTCAGGGTGGGTGTGCACCAGACACTGGGAGCTGGGCAGAGACAGACACATAAGCAAAAGGAGCAAAAGGCACTTGGACAGGAGAGCCAGCCCAGCCCAAGTCCTACCAGGGGACTGCACAGTGTGATGTGGCCAGAACAGAGTGCAGTGGCAGCAGGCAGGCAAGACAAAGCCCTGGTCTAGGAGGATCCAAAGGATAAAGGTGGCTGTGAGGGACACAGCCTGCAGGAATGTCACATGGTGGTCTGAAGTAGCAGTGAATGGAACACCTTCCCATGGTCACAGCAGCTCCTTGAGTGAGAGCTATGGTGCCTTCAGATGGAGTTACAGCCCTAGCAGGAATAGACCTGTATGGACTGGAAATTAAATAAATAAAATGCAGGGATTCGTTTTGTTTTTTCTTTTTGAAACAGAGTCTCTGGTGCCCAGGCTGGAGTGCAGTGGCATGATCTCGGGTCATTGCAACCTCTGCTCCTGGGCTCAAGCGATCCTCCCCACTCGGCCTCCTGAGTAGCTGGCATTACAGGCATGCGCCACGACGCCTGGCTAATTTTTGTATTTTTAGTAGAGACGGGGTTTCACCATGTTGGTCAGGCTGGTCTGGAACTCCTGACCTTAGGTGACCCACCCACCTCGGCCTCCCAAAGTGCTGAGAGTACAGGCATGAGCCACCACGCCTGGCCAATGTGGAGATTTAAAAAAAAAAACAAAAAACGGGTCCTGGTCTAGGAATCAAGTTCTGGGTTCCAGATCACACCTCCATCATTCTGCCACTAGGACTGTCAATCATCCTTTTTGAGCCTCAGGTACCTTCTCTGTTAAGTAACAGGATGGGCCAGATGATTTTTTTTTTTTCTTGAGACAGGGTCTTGCTCTGTTACCCAGGCTGGGGTATAGTGGTGCGATCAGGGCTCATTGTAGCCTCAGCCTCCCAGGTTCAAGAGATTCTTCTGGCTCAGGCTCCCAAGTAGTAGGGACCACAGGTGCACCATGCCTAGCTAATTTAAAATTTTTTTTTGTAGAAACGAGGTCTTATCATGTTGCCCAGGCTGGTCTTAAACTCTTAAACTCCTGGGCTCAAGTGATCCTCCTGCCTCAGGCTCCCAAAGTGCTACCCTTATAGGTGTGAGCCACTGTGCCTGGCCCCAGATGATCTCAAACTGCAGTCTTAGGGGCCTCAGTTAGGTATTAAGTACCTGAACTCACTACATACAGGGAATAGGGCAGAGATGCCAACCAGACTCCACCTTGAATACCAACTCCAACTGACTGGTAGTGGCTCCCTGGAGTGCTGTATTGAGAAAAACTTCAAAAACACTGAATTCCACAAAAAAGAGTGCTTGTGCCCAATTGGCGATGTCTGCTATGGGCTTAAGATGCCCAAATAGTACCTCGAGTGGCAGGAATTTGCAATTTCCAGCTTCATGTATTGCTTCTTACTGTGGTTGCAGGAATGTGCCAATCACCCATGGTATAAAGATACTGAAGATTAATTTCTCCTGGGGTCTTCTGTAAAAGCAAGCCTGGGGGAACCCAGGCTTAGGCTTACCAACCTGTCCTCAATCCAACCCTGGTGCCAGTTTGCCACTCCTTCCCAATCCTCCATGGTTCTATCCCTGCTGCATTCATCACCTCTAAATGCCATTACTTTCTGAGTGTAACTCTGACCCTCCTTTCCTGCAGCCAAGACATAACTGATTAATTACACAACAGGCTCTCTAACCAAGAAAGATGACCTTCCTTTAAAAGATGTGGCCAGTAAACAATCCTGATCATTTCTCTACTTTTCCTTTTATTTTCCATTCCCTGGTGTCCTCCTCCCCTCCAGCCAGGGTCATGGCTCTCAGATGGATGGCCACAGTGCTGGTAAAAGACAGGGGGATTATTTCATACACTAGGGTACTAGCTGTGGTACAGCTGGCAGGAAGAGAGGTATAATTATATTGCATCGTGGAGCCACCAGCAATGAATTTCTGCATAAAGGACTAGATTTGCCATGTATTATTTACGTCAGCATCAATTTTCCCAGCTGGCTCTATTTACTGTGCAAATTCTCCTCTGCCTGTTTATGGGCAAGGCACCTCTGAACCCCATGGTTCAGCACTTCTGGTTACACTATACTGTGAAGGGGCCCCACAGGGCACCATGCATATTAAACGAGTGGCCGGATTCACCAAGGAGTGGTGCAGGTCATATCCTCCCTTTCTGTTAAATTATATCCCTGGGACTGCAGCGAGCCCACACGTTCTCACCTAGTCACGGTGATGCATGCAGGTCTGAAACCAAATCAGCAAGAGGAAAGGAGGAATAAACTGTT